TCAACTGCTGGGATCAGGCAGGAAATGTTAGTCATACAGCATTGCACAACCAACTGAGTGCACTCAGGCAGGGCTGATCCAACCATTAGGTGAACTAGGCAGCTGTCTAGGGTGCCAAAATTTGGGGGGGGGTGCCAAAATTATATGTAGAACAAAATAACAGGAACATAATTTTAATTAACATTCCTGGCCAGCTACAGCTCCACCCTGGTCTAAATCTTTGGTTTGGTAAGGGAAGAAAGACCTCTGAAAAGATCTCAGAGGAAAGATCACTAGAATCACAACTCCTACCTTTTCAACTCTCAAGCAGACTTATGACAAGAGCATACCGCTGGCAACATCATCCTAAAAGGTGAACCCCTACTCCTATATCATCTTACAGCTCGTGACTCTGACTTCTGTGTCTAGAAATGGTCAGAGTAGGATTGCTGAATTGTTACATTTAATTCTTGTAAGAACGCATGTGATTTTTTAAAGTAAGTCTAGCTGGGGTAAGCCTTTGTGTGCATATTATGGTTGGATACTCATGTGAGAGATATATAGGCATTTTTAATTGTACATGGATTATAATAAATTCTATTAGAGTTTTTGCAGTATAATTGTGTTAGGGTTAATGAAAAGTGTGAAAGATTCAACAAAAATGTTTTGTTTTTATTGTTTTACTGTTTATTTCAAATAAGTACATGTCAAAGTTCATTCTAGACTTCTTATTTTCCTCTATATTGGAAGTGGTGGGGGCGCCGAGGTACACAGTTCACCTAGGGTGCCAATTACCCTTGGACCGGCCCTGCACTCAGGTCTGCAGGAACTGCCTTCCTTGGAAGCATCAGGTATTGGACAGGGTGGAGAAGGAGATTAGTTTGTCCAGGTCAGTTGTACAATCTAATGAGATGAAAGTGATATTCTCCTGTTCTGAATAGCGTGGGGAGGAGGAAGCACACATTCCAGACTGTTGGTACCCAGACACAAAGTGATTGCTGTAACATTAACCAATGGTCTGGTATCCACCACCTGCAAGGGGTTGTACCAGTGGCACATGATGATGGACAATGTTCACTGACTCAAGAGGTTGCTCCTACAGGTGCTATATAGATGCCCTGAACAGCTATAGTGCCTGCAGGTGACTTATTAAACCCAGTGAGTCTTTGACATTAGAAACTGTACCCTTCAGTGTCCTTGAGAGACAAAAAAAGAAACCTTTGTATGGGAGAGAAATTGCCACATGAGATATGCTGAGGTAAATTTAATTTCAGCTTCTTGGCACTTCCATCTGTTCTGCTCTGGGGTTAGAGGCTGTATGTACAGGTCCCTCTATCTCTTGTTCTCCCTTGGAGCAGGGTGACTTTCACAGTTGCCCACTGCCAAACAAGCTTATTTCTGTTACTAGCCAGCATCCCATGTCACTGATAGCTCCTCAGCAGATAGCCTCACTTGGAGGAGAGTTGGACAGGCTAAGGGACTCGGTCTCTAACATGGACATCCTGGTCGAACTGGGAGATACAAATGTCACCTTTGTCTGTTCATTCTGTACATGAGCATGCTAGAACATGCAGGTGTAGCATGCTTTAAACTGTCCTGGCTCTGGAAGCTAGACCAGAAGACAACAGCCTGCTATTTCTCCCTACTAATGCAATTGTTCACTTAGCTGAAGTGATGAAGGTGTAAGGATCAATGCTGAGGATTTTACATTCAACCTTGCTGATGGCTTGTGGTAGGGCAGAGCTCCTATAAAGCTGGCAGCCAGATGATACACATGAATTCCTCCATAAGAACTTGCCAGGGGAAAAGTCGCTCCTTATCCACCCATAATAGGATGATGTGTGCCTCAAGTGAAGCCACCAACCTGTAGCTTTTTCATTCCAACAATTGTACAGCAAACCCCTAGGATCTCATGACCCTGATGCAAATTGACCACAATGGTCCCTTCTGCCCTTATAATCTGTGAAACCCATTCTCCAGAGCCACCAGTTGCAATCCAGGTCTGGCTATTTGTGAGTGGAACATGCTAGAGTATGACAACTAACAACTTAGATGGGTTGTTAGTTGGGTCTTGGTCCAGTGCCAAGTAGATGGAAGCTCACATCACAAAGCTAGCCCTGGCATCAGTGAGTAATTTTGTGGGCAGCTTCCACAAGAACTGGACAGGCCATGAAACCAGAATTTCCATCACACTGTGGAGTGATATTTCCAGAAAAGTGTTGAAGATAGCTAACAAGACAGCATTAGAAGCTATTCCTACTGTTACCTGCTTTGTGAATAAGTATCAGCCTTCAGCCACCAATGCTGCCAGCTCAGTTCCTTTTGCCAACATTACATTTGTATCCAGAAGCCTTAAAAAGAATGAACCCGTTGAAAGCGTGGGTGTCGGCCTAGCCATATGCCGTGAAGGAATGCAGCCCTCCTACTAACTCACTGATGCGCAGCCCTCACTTTTCCCTCTCAGCACACAGGCTGCTCTATAAATAGCCTGGCAGGTTGCCTGGGGAGTGTGAATTCCCCAGGTCTGGCAGTAACCTTATCTGAGGAGCAAGGGGAAGGGAATGCAACTTTGGTTATCTGACTCTGTGCGGGCTCGGGCCAGCAGCAGGGCTGGGACATGAATCATTCATGCCCTAGCCGGGCCTGAATGATCCCCTTATGCACCTGTGCTGGTGAAGGAAAGGGCTGGTGAAATTGGAGAGGTCCCCTTGTTTCATCTGTGGAGTGGGGCATTAAGACATCATTAACAAGAGAAGTCTCCCCCTCTTCCCAAAAATACTTCGATGCATGTCATGTCTTTAATCTTCTTCACTCCTGCACGCATCCAAAACTGCAGTTACTGTCACATCCTACACTGCTTATCTCAGATTTCAGATCCTCCGTAACTCTTCTTACATCTACTACAGAAATAAGTGAGATAGCTAGAAACTAAAGCAGAAGTGTGGGGCTGCTCAACTGGAGCCACAGGACTGCTGACTATCCGTAGTGTGAGTTCTTCGGTGGGGGAGCTGTTGCACCGTGTGTTTGTGCAGCACCTAGTAGAAGGGGCCCTGTTCTGGCTGAGTCCTCTAGACCAGAGATTCCCAACTGCCACGCCACAGAGCAGTACCAGGCCGCAAAGGGTTGGCTGCCAGACCAGAAGTCCAGAAGTGACCAGCATACTGTGGCAGCCCGTCCACAGTATAAAAAGGGTTGGCTGCAGGTCCACATTATGACTTTCAGTCTGCAGTAAGTTGGTCTGTAGTTTGCCAGTCCATGGTCTGCAGTCAATTCTGGCCCACGGTTTGCCGGTCTGCGGTCACTTCCAGTCCACGGTTTGCTGGTCTGTGGTAGAAAAAGGTTGGAAACCACTGCTCTAGACCAGCGTTTCTCATCCTGTGGGTTGTGTCCCAAAAGTGGGTTGTAAGAACATATGAATGGGTTGTGAACAAACTTAAAAAATGTATCAACGACCTTTAAAAATGGATTCTCCTTTAAAGGAGAAAAACATAGGAAACCGTGGCTTTTCCCTAGCAGGCTGGCAGAGTTCTAGCTTGCAAGGGGCTGCTTGGGGCCCCCCAAAACACCTACCCCCTGCCCCGCACCCTGGGGTCTGGGGGCAGGGAGCAGTGGGTCATGAGTGAAGGGAAATGGGTCAGGACTGGCTATTCATGTTTACAAATGGGTCCTGGTACAAAAAAGATTGAGAACCACTGATGTAGACATTGCACAGTTAAAGTGCTTCTGGGGAGGGCAAGAATTACATGGGAGGAGGACTAAATATAAGGGGATGGGAGCAGGCAAAAACTGGAGGACCCGGGAGAGAAGGAGGGGTAGGAAATGGCTGTGGGGATTTGCAGCTATGGGTAAAATAAGGCAGAAGGGAACTAATAGGGAGGGATTGTGAGTAAGGAAGTGGGGAGGTGAAAGACGGGGGCTTGGAGAGAAGCAAAGAATGAGCAGGAGAATGAAGTAAGATGGGGAGCAGGACAGAGAAGGGTGGGAGCTACCAACTGTGGAGCACCCCACATGGCAATCCTCCAGCTCCTGGACTCAAGTGACTTGGGTATTTGCTGTTGCTGACAAGCTGGATCCATGCTGCAGCAGGATGGGAAGGAAGGAGCACTCCTGCCTGGTTCCACGGGGAGCTTGGGAGAACGATTTTGTTAAACCAGCACCAGCCAGGTTCTCCTGGAGCCTTTCTGACTCAGCTCACTCCAACAGGAGCAAAGTTCTCACTCCCACCATGCAGGATCCAGGGAAAGAAATGGAGCTGGAAACCAGGTCAGCTGGCTCCGACTCAAGTGATCGGACTTGAGGGCTGGAATACCTTGGGTCAGATATTGGAAGGGCCCTGACTAAACTTCCTCTGACCAGATTTTGTAGAGCTCAGCACCGCATGTGCTACGTGATTGTGATCAGCTGCTGAGGCAGTGTTCTTGCAAATCTGGGTGTCTAGAGCAGAGCAGTCTGGAAACACTGGTCACATTTCAGTTGCAACCCTTCTGGGAAATCCCAGCCTGAGCCTCCCCTCTCTGTAACAGGAAGGTGCCTGCCACATTACCGGGGATCCAGATTGTGGCCGTATTGGTCTGTAGGCAAAAGGAATCAAAACTCGTGGCAGGGGAGATATCTTTTATCAGATCAAATAGATATTTGCAAAAAAAATAAATAAATTGCAAGCTTTCAGGCACATCAGGCATAGGAGATTGCAAAGATTGTAAAAGTTCTCCTAGGTAGAAATGAAAAATCATGTTTCACACATTAGCAGGGAACTATTTTGCCCTCTTCTCCCCTAAGATTTTATTGTGATCGGGTAGTGCTGGCTGCCAGATTGGAGACTGGTTGCGGGATGTGTCCGTATGGAACTAGAAACAAGTGGAGAGGCAGACAGAAAACTAAGCCGCAAATCTCTGGCATGTTTCAGCAGCCTGAAGGCCCCCCGAAATCCACATGCCTTTAGGACCCCGAGGGTGCCCTGACGTGACCGCGCCCGAACGGAGCGTTGCTCGGCGCCCCCGCCTCTGCCGCCGGCTCGCCTCTGCCGCCGGCTCGGGGCGGGGGCGGGGCGAGGCGCGGGCGCCTGGCGCGCATCTCTGCAAACTTTGCTGTGCGTCCCCAGCCCCCGAGCCCGCCGGAGGGAGCCTGGCATCTGCCTGTCACCTGCGAGGATGTCCACGGACGAGGTCTACGTCTTCCGTCCCTTCAAGCTCATTGCCTTGTTCTGCGTTTTCATCGCCCTCGCCTTGGACGTGGTGGCCCTGCTGAGTCCCGCCTGGGTCACTTCCGAGCACTACTCGCTGTCCCTGTGGGAGGCGTGCAAGCAGTCCACGGATGTGTGGCACTGTCTGTCCACCTTAAAGACAGGTAAGAGCAGGGTCCTGGGGCTTTCAGTCTCTGGGGAGGCTTTCCTGGCTGCTGACAAGTACCACAGGGAGCCCTGACTGGTCCGTGTCTTCCAGGGGTGGGTTAGGTGGCCCTCGGGGTCCTGACCAACCCCCAGATCCCAGTAATCCTTTAACTGCTGGCAGATGTGTTTGGCTCTCAGTGCCAGCACAGAACATGGATATGCTCCCTGGTGGAACTCCGGACGGGAGAATGTGGGTCATTGCGCATTACAACCCGTCCCATTTAGGCGGCTACGATTACATTGAAGGCATGGGGGTCTGGGCGCTGGAGCCGGTTTGAGACCTGTGTGATTTTGGCTGGTTGCCAGTTCCACAATGAACAGCGCAGGTCAGGACATGTTGCCTCTGGACCTAACAGACCGAGCTGACTGGACGTGGGCTTCAGAGTGGCATTGCATGGAGTGGTCTGGTCTGGGTGTACAGTGGAAAGCACTGTGAACCTATCAGGGCGGCATTGTGACAGCTCATCTGTAATATATCTATAATATCTGTGACAGCTCACCATGAGCTGGTGCTCTATTGATACACCAGAATGAAAGTGATTTTTAGGTGATGTCTGTTTACACATTGTGACTTGCCTGCTCTGCCATGGGTTGTGCAGCTGGAAACTAAGAGCTTCCTGCCTTACCCTTGGAAACTTCCTGCCTTAGGGATCCCTCTGGCTGCTGCTACCCCAGACATGAATCTTAGGATCTGTGGTAGCATAGGGCTGGTCTGGAGGCTGCATCTCTTGGCTCCTGCATGGAGGGAGAGTGGGGAATGCATGCGTCTCCTAAAAGGGACTGTTGCAGTGAGAGCAACGGGCAGGATGGAAAGGCACTCCCCTTGCAAACAAGTAATAACCAAGAAACCCTTCCTGCTCTCAGGCCCACAGAGGAAGAACATAGCAAGGCAGATTAAAGGAAGTGGATTCCTCAGGGGATGGGACGCTCAAAGGGGAGTGATCCAGGAGAAGACATCAAAACTCTTCACTTAGCTAAGTTGCAGTATTGACTAATGTACAGAGCACCAGACTGTTATTCAGGAAAACAGAGCTCTTTTCCTAGATCTGCTACTGACCTGCTGTGGACTTAGCAAGTCTCTGCACCTCCATTCCCCATCCAGAAAATGGTGACAATGATCTCAACCTGCTCTTGTAAGGCATTGTGAGCTACAGATGAGAAGTGCTGTATGAGAGAGGTTTGGTATCACTAAATGAGTAGGTGTGGCCCAATTGAAGAATTGCTGCCTGGCTTGAATTAGTAATTGAAATCGGGCAGCAATGGGAATAATGGGAGTAATGGGAATCTGCTTACTGGTTGGACAGGCTGAGCATGCTTTGTCCTTTCCTATTCACCCCACTGCACAGGCAGGGTAGCTACATTTGTGCAGAGGAGACCTTATAAATGCTTTGTAGCTAGCTGGAGCTTCCATGTGTGGCATCAGGATAAACACATGAAGCTTTGTAAGCCCTGGACTTAACACTAGACTGTCTAGGGGCATGGCATCAGAGACAGGGAAGAACAGCATATGGGCTTCACAAAGAAGGCAGCACTGGTAACTTTGGTCTCCAGACCCAAGGCTGCCATTGGATCAAAGGAGAAACATCCTAAATGGGACCAGCAGAGTTTGTTACAATGCTCCTGGCCCAACCTGTACTTTGCATTATAATCACATTCTCCTTCCCACATACAGCTCAGCATTTCACATCTCTAGCTCAAATGGAAATAGCTGAAGTTAGAAGAGCCCAGCAAAGTGTTGACCTTACGGGCTAGAAAGCTTTGATTCAACCTGCTGCCTCTTGCTGTGGGATATTTGAGAGTTATTGATTCAGCAAGCTTCAAAGGGCAGACGCAAACTTAAAATAAGGTTTTTATTTGTCCCAAGGTAAATGTAGTTTTAGCTTCTGCATCTTCTACAAACTTGGAATTTTTTTCCTATTTACTTAAAAACAAGTGTTTTTCCCCTCTCTTATTGTAGCTGTGTAAAACTTAGACAAACAAAGGAAACTGACTCAGTTTCCTCTGAAGAAAATGAGGTACAAAATAACAATAGAGAAAAAAAGATTTTTGTTCTTCTGGTTATACTGTGGAGAAATCCATCTCATGGGAGAAAACTCTCCTCAGTTTTTACAAATTTAACTATTCTGAAAATATCCCTTTCTGAGCACGATGGGCCCATCTGTCCATTTGCCTCTCACTTTGTCACTCACTCACACTTGTGCAAAAATGGTCTGACATCAGTGCTGGGGTGAGTGGCAAGATCTGATCTGACAGTGTTTTATATCTGCCTTGGACAGGCATAAGTGATTACACTCTTAACGCCCAAGGGTGCTGAGGGAGCTGCCAGGGGTCATCGCGGAGCCCTTGGCCTGGCTGTCTGAGCATTCGTGGGCATCTGGCCAGGTGCCGGGGGATTGGAAACTGAGTAATGTGGTCCCTATTTTTAAGAAGGGGAGGAAGGAGGACCCAGGTAACTATAGGCCTGTAATGGACAGGCGTAAGTGATTACACTCTTAACGCACAGACCTCCCTTAGCAGTGTGTCAAGCCCCATATAAGAATGGAGCCTGATGTGGTGATGCTAACTAGAATAAAATGACAAGGACTCTCAAGTCTTATGCTTCAGGGAATAAGCAGAACAGTTGGAGTCAGAAAGAAACAACTCTTACAGTATAATAAATGTTTCTGTGCCTTCCTATGAAGAATCAGGCATTGACTATTGTCGTATGAGGCACTGGACTAGGGAGACCATAGTTCTTCCTTGTATATATTGCAATATATATTCCAAGTGTTCACAAAATAAAATGGGGGTCTATAATAGCACCCAAACCAGAACCCAAAACCCCTACTTGTTCAGAAAGGTTTCACCTTATAGATGTTATGGCCAGACGAGGCCATTATGATATTTTAGCTTGTTTCATGTAGAAGGTTAAATAACTGAATTTCACTGTAACCTGCAATGGGGTATATGGATATAATTGAACTTCTCTTGCAAGCAGCTAGTGGAGAGTGGCGTCTGAGCTCAGGTTGAGACCCCACCACATGCCCCACACTGGCTAGTTGGTCCAGTGCTGATGGAGATGGTCTAAAGAACACAAGGAAGGGGAGAAAGAAATGCATTTCTAGGCACTGGTATGTCACCTCTTGTGTGACACATACTAGCTGCCTGCTTGCACCATCTATCACAACTAGACTTGGGTCATGTTGACCTCATTAGCAAATGTCCAGCTCTCCTGAGAATTAGAGTAGTGAGCAGTAGCAGGAGGAAACCCAGCTGAAAAATATTTCTGTTTGATTCATTGTCTTTAGGATTTAGTGACATGGGGAAGAGGGATAGGTGGGAATGCCTGCAAGTAACTTTGGGACCAATTCACCTTGCATGGTCAAATCCCTGTTTTGCTGGCTTAAAGGCTGCCCAGCTGTAAGGAGATGAAGAACAAGAGGTTTCTAAGCTCCCCACTCTGGGGTCTCTTTTCTTGGAAAGACAAGAGGGAATAATAGGCCAGGAGTTGTGGTAATGGGGCAGTGAAAAGGGGAGGCAGGAGGGGGCAAGGCTTACACTGTAAACCTCTTTTCTCTTGTTCTTTGTTAACAGCAACTCAACCAGAAAATTTGTGGTGGGGGAGAGTGGGGGGAAGGAGCTAAAGTGGGGAAGGGATGGAGGAAAGTGTGTTCATTTGTCTGTAATAGTGGAAGGAGGGCTATGCTGGCAAGGGAAGGGGAGCAGATATGTGGTGTTCATTATGCTGACTCTTCTGAACTTGTGATTTACACCCAGCCCTTCAGCCAACCACCTGCATCAGTCTCCCACAAAGCAAAGGGGCTGCAGCTCCTCCTCACAGACACTACTGTCCTGTTTGGGATCAGGAGACCCATTTCAGAACCTAGGCATTCAGAGTAACTAATCTAGGAGCTGCATGCTGCTACTTCAACCTCTAATCTAGTCCTCTGCCATCTAGATGCTTTCTGATTTTAACAGGTCCATCTCATTCTCCACTTCTTTGCTCTTGTGTGGGTATGTCTACATGTGCATTAGATCTGGAAGCAGTTTACTCATGAGTAAATGCTCCTGGGCAGGCATCTCCATGTGCAGGGAAGTGGGAGCAGATTTGCTGCTAATGGCAGCAAACTGTTACTGCTTCCTGTGGCCCTGCAGTGGACCCCTGCTGCTAGCCCAGGGGCTGGCAGGGAGCACTAGGCCAGGACATAGCTGTCTCCCGGTCCTAGGCTGGGATGTTGCACCCTGACCCTGGGGGGCTGCCTGCTCCCAGGCTGGGGATAATGTCCCCCTGCCCCGGCAGCAGGGAGCTCCTGGCCAGACTCTCCATCAGGGGCAGGGGACTTGAAAACAGCTCGGGGCGGGGCAGGCCCCAGTCCCTATCCCCGTCCCCATCCCCTTTCCTGATCCGCTGCTGGGGCGGCTAGCAGCTAGCTCGCTTCTAGCTACCCTACTGGCGGATCAGGGCAGGGAGCTGGAACCTACACCACCCCTGCACCTCTTTCCAAGCCCCATGCCTTGATGACCTGGTTGTTGTACAGGGCTGGGACCTGCCCCTGAGTAGGACAGTTCCCAGCTCCCACTTCACAATTGTGGGGCAGAGGCTGGGGAGCCTGTTCCCTGCTCAGCTCCATCAGCATGGAGTTGGGTGGGGGCTGGAGAGACTGTTCCCCACCCATCTCCCTGCTCACAGACCTGAGTGGGAAACACCCAGCCTGTTCCCCACCCAGCATCTTGATCATGGAGCTGGGCGGGGAACCGTCTCTCCAGCCCCCACCAGCAGGAGCTCCCAGCAGCAGCTCCATGACTATGACTAGGGGGCCAGCACTGAGAGATCTTTATCTCCCAGTGCCAGCTCCACCGTTGTGGAGTCAGCGCTGGGAGATAAGGATCTCCCAGCCTGAGCCCTGTGACCCAGCTCCACGGTTGTGGAGTCAGCTCTGGGATATAAGGATCTCCCAGCCCCCACACCCCAATTGCA